ACACACACACACACACACACACACACACACACACACACACACACACACACACACACACACACACACACACACACGAAGCCCAGTGTATAAGCGGCGCCTCGTTATCACGAATTCAAGATCAACAGTTTTTGGACTCGATAGCATTTTTCATCAAACGAGATGCCAAAATGTTCAGTCAAATTATTCTGCCTGAAATAGACATTCAATTGAATGAGGTATGCAAAGCTTCTCAAAACAAAATACAGACTGTCCCACATGCGGTATTGGTCATAGACCTACGGCAACCGCTGATGGATCTCCCTCTTTCATGCCAGACGAACGACGAACACAGCAGTCTGAGGAGGAAAACAGACTTCTATACGAACCACCGGCAGAGCAATGTGCTCGTAGTTTATCACCACGACTCCACGAGGGGGAGCTGTTGCGGATCATATCCTGCAGCAGCTGAATGCCCTTGCGTTGGACCGATTCTCCGTGTCGTCGTCTGCCCATAGAGAAGGAATACATACTGAGGAAGCCCAAGAAAGATGCTCCATGGCGCTTTGTGATGACCCGCCGGAGATTCGACTAGAATGTGGTTCACATGCCTTGTGCCGTGAGGATTATGAAGGTATAGTGCATGCGAGTTTTTGCTTCCATACGTACGATGACAGTCAGTACTGTACTCATGTACAGCACCCCGACATGTCGCGTCCAATTCGTAGACGGGCTGGAACGGCAATGCCTCAATAATTGCGGTGGACGTGCCTCTGTGTTCCTAGCACGTACGAGCCACGTAGCCTGTGTGACATCGTGTCTGCGCCGTGCCATTCGATGCAGCAACTGTGACTGCGAAAATTGGATGCGGTGCTCCCATAGCGCGCACCCAAACCGGTCCTGTCCGGTCTGTAGGGGTGGGCACTCGACATAGTTTTTTTTTTTTTTTTAAGCGGAGAGTATTTACAAATCTGTGAAACACGTCATACACCTTTCCCCTGCTCTTTGGATGTCATACTCTATCCTGCCCTCCCGTTTTTTAAGTCACTGGTTGATACAACCATTGTTCGCTTCTAGAACACAAGGTACCTCGGCGAGGTAGGTAGTAGGTACCTTCAGTTTCAAGTCCGAAAAGGGGGGGGTGTAGGTACCATCATTCGACATCATCCCTGCCCTTGGAGTCAAGGTGTACATTATGGAGTCCATCCCATGAGGGCCATACGACAAGTCCACGGTCGTGGCTCAAATTCACCAGCTTGTAATTGCCAACTCGATTTTGAGAACCAGTTGATCGTGAGTGTTGCTCCCGGTGTCGTATTTCCGGGATGTCTGTACCAGGATTACCTGATTGAGTTCACAAATATCAATACAAGCCTTGGGCACTGGGCCCTTGTTAAAAAAAAAAAGGAAAAAGAAGAAAAGAATAAACACTGCAAAAAAAAAAAGAAAAAAAAAGGATTGCCTGATGAGTTCATAGCAGTATGTTATTATAAAGGATTCGTCGGAAACGACCTCGGTAAGATAGCTGTTGCATAAGTGCCAATGAACATATCGTTCTCTCAATGGAGTTCTGTTTTGAACGTAGCAAACTGAATAGTAGTTAATTTTGCCAAATAGAAAGAATTCACGCATTCAGAATGTTTTTTCTTCTTGTGTAAACTCTAAAAGCGTGCGTTGATCGCGTAAAACAGAAGTCTTGGGATTATGAAAACGCGTGAAGGCGAAGCGATCAGTTTAACGAAGTTCGAAAAACAAGTGATGGAGTGTAGACGAGAGAAATGAGATTAGCTGTTGGCATCTTGCATTCAGATTGTCGTTGCTCGTGTAAAACGGAAATCTTGGGTTTATGAAAATGCGCGAAGGCCACGCGATCATGTCAAAGTTAAAAAAAACAAGTGATGGAGTGGAGACGAGAGAAATGAGATTCATGGTTCGCATCTTGATTCTATCCCGGCACTCACTCCGCTCGCCAGAGCAGACGCGAGGAGTCTGATCTATCCCGAAAAAGGTTTGGAGAGAACTCACCGTGTGGGTGTGTGTGAAAGTTAAATAGAATCTAATTCCTAATAGTTAATCTAGGATGAAAAATAGAAAGATCTTTTCACTATATATCGTCACAAATAGAACTGCCTACGGTAAACCGTATTCAGAGAGGGAGAAGGAGAAGAGGACAACAAACGAGGGGCTGTGACAAACTGTTTCGTCACAGCCCCTCGTTTGTTGTCCTCTTCTCCCTCCCTCTCTGCCTACGGTTTACTGTAGGCAGTTCTATTTGTGACGATATATAGTGAAAAGATCTTTCTATTTTTCATACTAGATCCTGAGATCATTACATGCGAAAAATCGGCGCACTTAAACCGCCAATACATGGGCCCAGCCTTGCTGAGAATGCAACTCGTTGCCTACAAAAATTTCGGAGGCTCGGCCTACCAGACCAAAAAGAAAGAAAGTGCGCAGTGCGCCACTGGTGGTTAAAACAGCCATTTGCTTTAACCACTGAGCTACTAGAGACCTTTCTGTCGTCGTATTGTTTTGGCAGTCGTGTAGAAAATTGATCATATTTTGTTAAAAAACATCTTGTCTCTTTACTTGAGTATTCTTATGCAGGGTAAGTACTACAACTCTCTTACTCTGGCCACTAATAATATAAGACTTGAAACCAGAGGCAAATAAAAAGAATTGTGATTTTTGATCATTTTTCAACAATCTGACGGTTTCAGAGGTTGTCCAGAATGAAACAAACAGGTTTAGGAAAAAAGTTTTTCTTTTGGGAAACTTGCTGAAATGCCCCTGAAAGTTCGGGTATTTCATCAGATACCCCTAAGAGGGATGGGTATGGTGAAATGCCCCTGCGACAGTAGTGAAACTTTGCAAAATACCCTACTCCCCTACTCGCCAATTCTGCAAATTGCAAAAGAAATGCGCGGGCCCCTGCAGCCCAAAGCCAGGGCACATGGTGACGTTGCCAATGAGTGGGACAGGGGCAGACGCAGAAGTTTGGGGCATTTCAGTGTACCCCTATGTTTTAGGGGTATGTAGCGAAATACCCAAAGTTTTAGGGGTGTATTTTAACAATTTTGAATTTTCCTTTCTTTTTTTGGGGAAAAGGAAGGTATTTCCATTACCACAATATCGAGATGGAGGCCGGTTAGTCCTCATAATTTCATAAACAACGTGGAAAAGACTGAAGACCATAGACTACTAGGACCATTACTCAGCTTCGGTTATGCGGGTTTCCCCACGGCAAGAGCAGCCACTCCACTACCGTCTTCACCCGAATAGAACGCCTGGTCATATTATAGCTGCATCTGGACCGAAAGGTGTGCCAAATACAGCTATAATGATGACCGGGCGTTCTATTCGGGTGAAGACGGTGGGGACTTTACCCTACAACACTCAGAGGCAAGACCCCTGGAAATTTAAAGCGAATCGCCCTAAGCTTGCACTTTTAGACTTCTTCGAGGTGCATATTAAGACATTTGAGGACCCCCATGGCGTGCCCATTTTTTTCTAATTCTGGGTTCGGCGACACCCTGACAACTGCCTGATCTGCGGTTGAACTTCATGATGGAAAGCAACTACCGTCTTCCCCCGAACAAAACGCACCCGGATAATGCATGTATTCAAGTTATATTTCCGGCCAGATACAGCCATAATGAGGGTGCGTTGTGTTGGGGGGAAGACGGTAGTGGAAGGGTGGAAAACAGGAGGGGGTTGAGTCAACCCCCTGTGTCATTGCAGTTACGGGATTTTCACCATCATGCCAACTTCGCCATGACCTGGTATGCATGTTATAAATCACAAACCCACCCCCATTCTCCCCCTCCCTACACCCACAACGATACCTTGCCCGGACCTGAATGGCTCAGGTCCAAGCTCCCACTGACCTGGGCTCTGCCTTTCTATCTGTTGATGGATATACAGTTTTTTTTCAAAAAAAAAAGGGCAATCAACTGTCCACGCTGAAGGATCAGTGGATGACACAAGCAAGTGGGGCAGTAAGTACCCCAGGGGGTCACCAAATTTGGATGTCATCGGCTCAGCTGTTCGAACGATGATGGCTGTGCTGCAAAGATGTACTAAGCTCTCGCGGCTATCCGATGTTACATTTGATCGAAGTTGATCTTGATCCAGAAGGATTGACAGGATGCTGGGCCGGTTTCAGCCCGCCTCCCCCACAGGTGTAAAAAAAAAGAAAAAAAAAGAAAAAAAAAGAAAAAAAAGAAAAAAAAGAAAAAAAAAGAAAAAAAAAGAAAAAAAAAGAAGAAAAAAAGAAGAAAAAAAGAAAAAAAAGCACCGGTACACCACATATGGGCCTGCGGGTGTCAGCATGAAACCCATCTTTGGAGGCTGCCGCCAATTTTTTTTCAACGGCGGGCCTGGCCGCGCAGCGCCTCCGAGTTCGCTTGTGGCAACAGAAATTTTCTGCAAGGCTTGGGCCGTGTACTTGTACTAGCGGTTTAAACCACCTGCACCCCACCCAGGCAAAGTTGAAAATAGAAATCGGTCGAATCCAAACATTTTGGGTGAACAGTGCGACGTGACCGAAATGGATGGCGGCCCCAGGCAAAAAGAAAAAGAAGTGTGTTTGGCATTTCGTTTCTTTTTTTTCCGGGGATGCAATATCCGACATGGTAAGAAGAGGCTCAGCGGTACTGCTGGTTCAAAAAATAACGAAGGGGCAAGTAGGTTGATGTTATCGTGTCACTTTTTGAGTATCAAATGAGCAAAAAAACACGCGCCCGCGAAGAAAACAGGTGGCCAGTTTGAAAAAGCAATGAAAGTACCAACGACCGTGGTTACGGGCGGGGTGTCATAACTGCGGGGGGTTGGCCGTGGCGTCAGCCGGGTAGAGGGAAAAGGGAAAAAAAAAATCCCAATGGATTCTTTTCTACCCAAATTGCCGTTTCAAACTCACGCAGTGATATCTTTGCAGACACATGTTTTTTTTTGCCTTTGCGAACTCGAAGCCTGCCGTGTCCGCGGCTGTTTCAAAAACAAAGGCGACGGGGGAGAGAGTACCTTACATTTTTTTGTTCATCAACTTGGATTTGAGCTCATGATCATCTGCTGGCTTACAATTACCGTCCATGTGCACCAGCCAGCCACACACTCGGGGCATACTCACACTACTCACACTACCCGGTAGGCCGTCACAATCGCAAAATGGCAAAATGAGAAGAGTCCAGATTTGAGTCCTTCTTGTTTTTAAGGTTCATCAAAGCAAAAACCTTGTACTAGGCCGGTAGGTTAGTTGCTATCCAAGCTTTTCTTAAACTTTTTCGTAGTTCTCAGATTGTTCTTAGCCGAATGCCAGGTAATGGCCCTGGTATCTCAAATCATTTCTCGAATCATCTGTATAATTCTACATGGGACGCTGGGCCCGGTTCCCAGCACGTGTTGCTCCCCGCGAATAGATTGGAGCTCTTCGTCCCAAAAAAGAAAAAAAGAAAAAAAGAAAAAAAAAAGTCCTTGTAAAACTCAAGGAGTAGTCGATCGGGCCGATCATTTTGTGATTTTGCGATTTTGAGGGCTTAGGGTCTCGTTAGACACTCCTAAGAGAATCCTAAAATTTTTAGGACAAGTCCTAAAGTTTTTTTAGGATTTTGTGTGGCGTCGTTACACGCAGTCCTAAAAATCATCTTTTAGGATTCGTCCTAAAAGGCCTCCCGCGGCCCGTTCTCATATTCGTATACGCAGCCGCGTCGGCGATGTCCGTCGGGTCCTGGCTGGTGTCCGTGGTACACACTGCGGAGGCCTTGGGTGGGTGAAAAGCGCGGTCACCCCGAAATTCAAAAATTCAAATTCGAATTCTCGCGGACGCAGGGCAGAGGGGCGGAGGACGGCTAGGCGACGCGTGTGACGTACATAAGACGGTGCTGGCGAACCATTCAGCGCGGGTATCCATCTTCCGACTCCACGCAAGTTGTGACCAGCGGGGGCATCTTCCGGCAAGGCGCATCTTCACCTCCGCCATGTGTGCTGTCCTGTGGAAGCGTCGAGCAGCAGGTGTGTCGTCGACTCCGGCGTACGCCATCTCCTGTTGCAGCATACGGCAGCGGGCGCATTTACGGGTCCGGCGTGCGTGGTCTCCTGCGGCAGGGTTGCGGAGCGGGCGTGTCTTTGGCGGCTGTGGCAGGCGTCACGCTGTGGGGGCAGAACGATTCCCAGAGATGGACGTTCGCGGCAGCGGGCACGGTCTGCGCGAAGAGGAGATCGACGCGGTGGTGCTGGCGGTTACTGCCGTCGTCGTGAACACGATGGGCGACATGTCGTCGTCCTCAAGCAACATGCTGACGCAGCTCCGTAAACGAAGAGTGCTGTTGCAGCGCATTGCCGAAGCGCTGGATTGCATCGCCACGTGTGAGGCAGTCGTCCAGTTGTGTGCCGCGCTGTCATCTGGCGTTTTCCTGCGGCAGACCCCGCGTTGGTGGATTAAACGACGGACTGGCGGAACATGGGAGGATCTTTGCCTCTGTGATGACGCGACGGACGAGTACACTACCGGCAGAAGTTGCGCATGTCGACGGCCATGTTAAAGCAGATCGCAGCCACGTGCGCCGCGTACGTGGAGAAGAAGGTGACGCACTATAGGATGCCATTGCCAGTAGAGCAGGTGATCGCTTTCGCGTTGTACAAGTGGGCGTCAGGAGAGACGTACGAGAGCGGCACGTCAGCCTTCGACATTGGCAGGGCAACTGGACTGCAGGCCGTCCGCGACGCCACTTCGGCGCTGCTGCAGGCGTACCCCGACACGATCAAGTGGCCAGTTGGCCGTAGATGTGCACAGATTCTGCGCGCATTCCGTGACAAGGGTTTCCCGAACTGCTTCGGCGCGATCGACTGTACACACATCTACATTGACAAGCCCGCCGGCGCACCTTCAGACAACTTTTTTTTTTTTTTTTTTTTTAAAGGCTCCAGTCTTTTCGTGGGGAGCAGCACGTGCTGGGAACCGGGCCCAGCGTCCCATATGAACATACATCAGCTAGTAACACCGGGGCCATTACCTAGCTTCGGCTGAGAAAAACCTAAGAATGGAATGCTTCAAACACTTACGAAATCAGAAACCTTTGAAAATTCTAATGCTGATGATACTGATGACACCAGTGATGATGACAAAAGTATATAGCTACTCATGCTGAGTCGGCCATACTGGACTCCTGATCCTGAACAACTCCAAGCCCTCCCTTACCAGGATATTGCAACTCAGGAACAAGACAAACCTATCCCCCCACTGCCATAACTGATCTCTTCTCACTACCCAGACTAACCCCACCCCATAAGTTGTCAAGGTACCCCCCCCTGGTTCACCATTGGCTTGCTTTCCTCCCTCAGCAAACCCCAGATCTCTCTACAAGGCCTCCCACCCCTGCCAATTGCAGGTTACAGGGCTATGCCCCAGCTCCGGCCAGCGTTGTTCTGGCATCGGCAATCCAGGAGCACAGAACAAAGCAACTTCAACAGTTATTAGTCTAGGTTCGACAATACCTGAATTCCTATATCCTAAATAAAGAAGAAGACCAGGTGCTGCCAAGATTGTAAAGCAGCGGATGGCTGGTTTTGAAGTATTAAACTGTATCGAAAATATCAGATCTTTGTTGACACATTGAGCACCTACGGACAACTACTACGACCGCAATCAGAAGTTCTCCGTGCAGGCGCACGTGGTGTTGGATTTGGATCTGCGGATCCTCGACGTCCAAATCGGATGCCCGGGAAGTGTGCACAATGTCCATGTCCTGTACAATTCCCAGCTGTGGAGGCGTGCAGAAGCTGGTGAGCTGTTCGACGCACCTCCGGAGAATCTGCCGCACGGTGTCGTCACGCGAGGTTACCTGCTAGGCGACAACGGTTATCCAGTTGCCTGTCCATGGATCGTGCAACCGTACGGAGGAATCGACCAAGATTCTGACGAGGAGTGCTTCGACACGCGGCAAAAGGTGGCGTGGGGGTGTGCGGAGAGGGCATTTGGGCGACTGAAGTGCATGTGGCGTCTGTTCTTGCGCACCCACAAGACGAATCTGGAGACCTTGCCACAACAATTCGTGACCGTGTGCACTCTCCACAACATCCTCCTCGACGCGGGGATCGACTTCGATGAGAACCTTTTGTGGGAGGTGGATGAGAACGGCATTCGGCGTAGAGTAGACTTGGGCATTGTGGGGAACGGCGCGGCCGGGCAGCGACGGAGCACGAACGTGGACGGGGACTTGTCGCGGGATGCACTTCGAGACCGCCTAGCTCTGATGTAGGACCGTGCGGACGGGAGGGGGAGGGGGGGGGGGGGGGGGGGGGGGGGGGGGGGGGGGGGGGTAGGGGGCGAGAGCACGTGGGTTGGTGCGATCGGCAGGCAGGTGGAATTGGCACGTGGCCCGTGTCCATTGGCGTCGTGCGCGAAGTTGCTGGGTCGATTGTACGACGGCATTGTTGTCGTCTGTGACTTCCTTTTTTGTTTTCGTCGTGTGGACAGTTGCGTGGTTCGTACAGTTGTACGAACGTTTCATATTGGAAGAACCTTTTTTTTGTGTGGCTCTCTCGATTTTTTTTTTTTTTTTTTTTTTT